ATAATTACTACTTTTCTCAACAGCAGGACATCCTAGATCTGCGAGCCCTGAATAAAAAGTGTCAGAGATTTAATTTCACATATTTTATCTGCTGGCATCAGTTTGCTTAATTAGCGAGAAAAACGCTTTGTAGTTTTGTGTGATTGTTCTTTCTAAGGTGTCGGTAGCTCTGTTCTGCTGCTGGGATGCACAATCGTGTATAGTGTACGGAGGTTTTGGTAGTTTTATTCAACCGTACCGAGGACAACAAAATTCATTTTCTATAAGATGCGAATTTCGCTCATCGGACATGTCGAGTTCGTTAGCACCAGGATCTTTCAGTCAAGGGTTGGTGAATCGAAGATGAGCGTTACTTGTATATAACGATGGATAAAGAAAATATCCAGGGAAAAAATCGAGAAACTTCTTCTCCTTTGTTTTTTTTACAATGAACAATAAGAAATACCAAACAATAGCTTTTCTTGTTCACAGAATATATAGGTTAAAAGTAGTAGGTCAAAAGTACACGTACATATATAGAACAATGGAAGAAACAAAAAAAGTAGAACAGAAATGATTCATTCTATCCTATTTCAACTTTTATACTGACAGTTATATATAGTTGACTGTTGAAAAATTGGATTTACTGATCTTTTGATTAATCTATGACATCAACTAATTAATAACTGACAATTAAAATAAATTACTGATCAACTATTTTATTTACTGATCAGTCATTTTTTTACTGATCATTCAATAAATCTACTGACTTTAGAATTATTTTTGTTACTGATCATTTCAATTATTATACTGACCAAAAAACAAATTCCCCTTTTTAAATTATAGACAAAACACTTATTTAAGATGACGATGGAGATGACGACAACCGACAGTAAGTGTGCGGTTACAAGTTGTACTGAATTATTCAGTTCCTTCTTCAGACTTTCGACAATTCGCTTCCACGTTTAGACTTTTTTGCGAATTTCGTTGCAACTTTAGAATTTTAAGAATTTTGCAAATTCTTCTCCGAATCATGAATTGATTGTTCCCTTGGAAGTTGAGAATTTTGAGAATTCCGTTCCAAATTGCATATTCTGAGATTCAGTTGCTAGCTCAGAACTTGGAGAATTCAGTTGCAGGTTTAGAATTTTGAGAATTTTTTGAATTCTGATGCAACCCGAGAACGTTCAGATCGAAGTACAGAGTTTCTTAAACAAAAGTTCTCGAATTGTGCTGGAAATCGAGCATCTTGAGAATTTCCCGAATTCTCCAGCAGCTCGAGAACGTTGAGAATTCAGTTTTAAGCTTAGAAATTTGGGAATTTTGAGAATTCTGCTATATTGTTCCAAGTTCAGAATTTTCAGAATTTAGTTTCAAGCTTAGAAATTTGGGAATTCGGTTGCAAATCGAGAATTTTGAGACTTCAGTGCCAGATTGGGAATGTTTAGAATTCTTTCAAAAATCGAGAATTTTGACAATACAGTTATAAGTACAGAATTTTGAGAATTCACTTCCAGATTTAGATTTTTTTGCGAATTCCGTTGCAAATCGAATATTCTGAGATTCAGTTGCTAGCTCAGAACTTGAAGAATTCAATTGCAGCTTAAGAGTTTTTAGAATTTTGCTGTAAATCGAATATTCTGACAGTTCAGTTGCTACTTTAGAATTTTCGCTTGCCAGTTGCGAATGTTTAGAATGTTTCAGAATTCCGTTGCAACTTGAATATTCTGAGATTTCAGTTCTAAGTTTTGAATTTTGAGAATGTTTTGCGAAGTGTGTGGGAAATCGAGAATTTTGAGGATTATGCGAATTTTCCTGCAAATCGTGAATTTTGACTATTCGGTTTCAAGGTGAGAATTTGGAGAATTTTTGAGAATTCCGTTCCAAATTGCATATTCTGAGATTCAGTTGCTAGCTCAGAACTTGGAGAATTCAGTTGCAGGTTTAGAGCTTTGAGAGTTATGTTGCAGATCGAGAATACTGACAGTTCTGTTTGAGAATTGTGTTGTCAGTTTAGAATTCTGCTGCAAATAGAATATTCTGAGAATTCAGTTGCTCCTGCAAATCAAGAATGCTGGGAATTCACCTTCAAGTTTAGAATTTTGGGAATGTTGGCGGTTTTTGAAATTGTGTCGGAACTCGAGAATTTTGTCTATTCGATTAGAGGTTTAGAACTCTGGGAATTTTGAGATTTTTACAGAATTGCGTTGCAAGTCGAACATTCTGCGAATTCAGTTAGTAGTTCAGAATTTTGAGAATTCTGCTGCAATGCAAGTAGACAATTTTTGGGAATTGTGTTGCCAATCGAGAATTTGGAGACTTTTGAGAATTCTCGAAGAGTTTGTGAGAGGAAAATTGACAAATACTTTACGTAAAGTTGTTTGTTCTTTCAGTTCACGTGACATCCGGCGAGAAGATCATTGTACTAAATAAGGTGCCGGTAATTCAAAATTTCAGCGCCATTCGAAAGTACTCCATTCGACGCAGAATTTTGTGCTGATCATGAATATCTCCTTTTTAGTTCAATTTTATTGAGTTTTAGGGGAGGAAAATGCGAAATACTGAGGGGCGGTCGAAAACCTCGAAAACCCTAATTTTTTCAAAAAATCGCTTGTACTTTTCTCCCATTGATCCCTACGATTTTTTGAACGTGATATTCGGATTCCTTATGTCAAACTGAGTCCAGAAAGATGGTTCACAGATTTTTAGGCCACGATGTACCGGAATGCAGAATTTTTGAAAGGGGGCAGGCCGGCCATCCGAGGTTTGTTTTGCAACTCTATCTAGTTTTTTGCTTGAAGACCTAAAATTTTCGTTCATATGCCATTCGAACCAGCTCATCGTGGGCTACAAAGGTACGGTTTTTTTTGAAAAAACCTTTTTCCTATGCTGAGATAGGGTTCAGAGATCGGGTTTTCAGAGTATCTTTGGAAAACCAGCTCTGTTCTCAGAAAACTAACATACAATGTTAGTACTTGTTTTGCATGCGTAGATAGTTTCGACGTTACTCTACAAAATTATGCAGATCCCGGCTCTCTAGCTATCATCGTTCGGCAGGGCTCGCTTTTCCCGAGCACGTGTCTATCTCCGAGCAGACATCTCTGGGAATCTCAAAATGCCATGGACTATAGGTAATCGACTACGCTGAGCATAGTAGCGACATTTGTTTTTGTGTAGAAATGAATATAACGTGCAACCAAGAATATTTTATGGACTCGGTACATTTTATAGAATGGATGAGTCGAATGGCCTCGATGTATCTAGGTTTCTCGGAAAAAATGTGAAAATCTGTACCGCAATCGAAAGCGCTACTGGGCATGAGCAATTAACCGATGAAACAAAACCTCCAAAACGAGCCTGGCGAAAACAAAAACTTGCTGAGTGGGTTGATGATCCTGATGGTTCATATCCAAGAAGCTTTAAATAATCAGAACTACTGGAAACAACACCGGAAAATTTATGAAAAAGAAAGTATAAAGTCGATGAAGAAGTAAACAAATATGGTGTTGATATTTCAAGATAACTCAAGGCGTTCTACGTATCTTCTCTCAGTCCACTTAGTGATTTGTATTGTCAGACTATCAATTAAATACTGTGTACTTAATCCAATCGCAACAGAATTTCTTGAAACAATTGCGTTAAAATAATATCGCCCTATTCCTAGCGAGATTTTTGCTAAAACCATCTTCTGCTATCCTGCCTCTGCCACTTTCCGCACGACCTTTGTTAAAAACAAACATGAATTCTTACACAACTCGACTTGGTCTATAAAATTAGCATAGCGAGATCTGAGCAGCTTGAAGTCGACGTAAATCTGGGTGAAACAGAGTAGACGGAGCCCTTTATTCTAACATTTCACTGTGTATGAAAAAACAACTATGTTGTTGTAGATTTATAAGTACATCGCTTATTTATCCAACAATTCACATAATATCATCCATATTGATAATTTTTGCCGTATTTCATCAACACAATTTGACTCGAACAAAGTGTTTCTGCTAAGAAGGATCAGTTCGTACGAATATCTTGGTAACTATATCTTACTCGGCGATTCATTACTACCCAAAACTTTCGATGTTCCAAGGGGGGAGGGGAAGCATTTTTTGAAATAAATGAAACTTCTTTTATTGGAAAAACTAAACAGGCTGTTTTGTTCAGAATTCGATGCTGATTACAACCATGTGATTTTTCGCCAAAAACATATGACATGAAAAATGACCTTACCGCCACTCTCACTTGAAAAGGTCTTGAACTAGCTTTACAAAACTGTTGATTTTTTAAGTAGCCATTTTTCTTCAGAGGATAAAACTAATCTGATGTGGCGGGAGTGCTCTCTCTCACATGTTTAATGGATAAAACGGTTCGAACCTACTATTTTTAAAAACAAAACATTTCTTTTTTTCTTATAGAAGATACATATCTACGAAGAAACATAAACATTAAACATAAATTCTAGAATATATACATAGTTATTTTCTTGATTATTTAGTTTGACTTCTACCTCGATAACAACAACGAACTGATTGATCACAATTTGATTGTGTTTTTAATTTCAGTGCTAATTCTTTTAAATTATGTCGTTGTTCCCATAAATGTGCAATAACAGCTAATAGACTAATTAAAAAAAATGTAAGAAACAACCCGATCATTATTTCAATTGTTATACTCAATTTTTCATTATCATCATCGTTACTATGTATAAAACAATGTTCATTCGATGATGAACCTCCGATTATAGTAGGTGTTTTATAATGAAACCATTCACGTTCAATTGTATCAAAATAATTCGATTCTCTTAGTGAAACAATATTTAAATCTAAATCATGTTTATATGGCCAATTTTTTTCCATAACAATACCAAATGATGATTTTGCAAAACCTAAACCAACAACAGCTAATTTTGAACAATAACTGTGTCGAATTTCGTATTCTAAAGATGTATTGTCCCATAGAGCTGCATCAATATTCTCGTTTAGCAAATTAACATAAATTTCATTGGAAGATTTTAACGGATAAAAGTATTTTGATACCTAAAACAAGAGGACGGATAAAATTGATTAATACAGAGATACACGATGGTTTTACATTATTAATGTAATATTCATAACTAGCTGAACCAACAACAATACCGATGCGGTTATAAGAGACACGACCATTTTTAATATCATCAATACCAGAAATTGTTGGCTGTGTACGTTGTAATGTTAAAAATGACGATAAATTAGCAGTATATGTTGCTAGAAGAATTAATGATATCGTTGATAGACCAATAGTTAATATCCTACTAGCTGTAGAAAATAAAACAAAACCACCACCACCACCCATATTGACTAAACTTGACCATGCATAATATAAACTTAAAGTAATGGTTTGATGAACAGATTTTGGTTCGACTGTGGTTGTTTGATTACGCAAGGTTTTTGTTGTTGTTGTACGTTCGAAATAACATAGTAAACAACCAGAATAGAGTACGATACCTAATATAGCTAACCATAATTTCAAAGAAAATGGTTTTAAATATGAAAATAAATCTGAATAGGATGATTGCGATTGTCGAACAACAACACGAACAGAATTCTCATGTATTGGTATTGAAAAATCAACTTTTTGTAAACGATTTGTTGTGATTGTTACATCTGATATAATAATATCGTATAACTTCTCATTAATACCAAAAACTAATTCATTATATTGTGTAGAACGATCAACTAGAATGACATTATAATTAAATTCCATTTTTTCGTGCAGTTTATTGATCAGATCAATACATAAACCACGTAGTAAAATTGTATTATTATTTACAAGAATACTATCATCATGACGATTACCATTATCACCAGTAGCAGTCAAATTTTCAGACATAACAAATGGTGCTGATTCAATAACAGCTATACGAATTGTGATACCTATATTAGAGAATTTATGAAGAGGCTATCTTTTATAGTTGATAATTTCGAGACATTAACGTCACTGGAGCTACTATTTAAAACTACTTTTTTTTTTGAAGATTAGTGGACGTGTTATTTCTTACCTTTAATTACTGGATGATCACTAGGTATATGCTCTGATCTATTTGGCCATACAATTGGTTTAGGCGTTGTTGTATCATTGTACCATTGCTTAATTGTTTCATTCCACTTTAAAACATTAACTAATTGAAGTAGAGATTTTTTCCCATCAGATGATAATTGTGGCTGTACATTTCTCAGATGATAATAGGCACCATTTAAACGGTCATTTGTTTGATTACAAAATTCTACTCGACCTGTTACACCCAGAAATGAAATTTTCCGTAATAGGCGATGGTATAAATCAGATTGTGTAAAGTTAGCATGAAAACAATAGGATTTATTGATACAACTAATACATGACGGAGTTTCTGAACATAGTTTTTGTAATGTTAATATTAACGTCCACGTTGCATCAAATACAAATAAAGCAAACGGACTTACAAGATAACGATTACCAGGAAATGTATATTCATCATATTGTTTCCATATATCAATTGCTAGATTTAATAACGTTTCATTGCTTACAGTATCAGTCACTGTTGGTTCAATTGTTAATAGGCCAATTAAGTTTTCTTTAACCACATTTGGTTGTGATGATAAAGATATTAAATTGTGCAAATGTACTTTCGACGTAACAATCCAAGTAAAATATCTGCCAATAAGTTGGTGTTCTAAAGCATATTTAAGAATTGTTTTTGTTGAATTTTCATTTGCCCAGACTAGTACAATACGCGATTTACTTTGTTTAAATATTGTATTAATATTATTTGTTTGAAATTCATGTTTTTTTAGATCAAATGTGATGATATCTGTTAATGTTATATTCATTGAATATAACTCTCGGAACAATTTCATTCCTGCATAACCATAATCATCATTTTGAAATAAATAAATTGATGTATGCCATTTATATAATTCAAATAATTTAATAATGGCTAAAGCTAAATTACTATTTGATGGTGCAAGACGATAAAATGACGGATACATTGATGTATCAGATAAATCCGGATTTGTTGCACTGTATGAAATTAATGGTAAACCAATACGTGATGTATACGGTGCAATAAATAGTACTTCACTTGAATATGCTGGGCCAACAATACCAGTAATATTCATTTGTGTCACTTTTTGACATGTATGATCCAAGATGGATAAACCATTATCGTTACTATTGGTTACAACTTCTGCATAATGTATTAGGTAACGATTTTCTAATAGAATACCAGAACGTTGTGCCAGTAAAATAGCTGATTTAAACATTGAGCGACAATGTAATGCCCATGATGTTGGTCCAGAAAACTCACGTGAAAATAACTGAGAGTCATAAGCAGGAAATAGACCGAGTAATTGAACATAGTCTAATGATGCATTCATATATGGCCATTCTTGACCATTAATTGTTCTAATAAACAATGAGAGAATTATTACACAAACAATCATAACTCTACGTATTCTAAAAGAAAAGTGTTTTTGTTATGTGTTAGAAGCGAATCATCACTGAATTCCTTTCAGATCAAAGAAATTTGAGTCGCGGATCGAAAATCTGTGGTTCGGATGAATATTTTCAGTCCGATTCT